CCCCCCTCTCCCCCCCCCCCCCCACAACTGTTTCAAACGTGTCTAAAAAAAGCCTTCTTCCTGAAAACTGGTGGTGGGAGTGTGGGGGAATATCTGTAAACTAACAGGGGAGAGAGGGCATCCTGGAGTAGAAAGGGAACATTTAAATTGTATGCCCTACATTTCTTACTGTGGCATAGTCCTTGGTGCCTTGTCAAATAACAAAGGCTATGGGCTATTCTAAATTAGAAATGCTTCAATAGTGGTGTTGCTGTTGTACTATTGTGGCACTTCAACATAGATGCTTCTATGCTGCTGATAGGTTTTGCTTGTTCAAATAGGAAAATTTAGTACTGTCTGTGCTGGGAATTACATTAGCTTAACTATGCTGTTAAGTTACGGATTTTTTCACTTTGAGTGATGTAGTTGATATAGTTTTCTAGTGTAGACCAGTCTTTACTCTTTTGTTCACTTGGAAGAAAGGGTGTAGTTTTTCCATTGATGGCTGTCATTCAGCTGCCTTAGCATTTATTACTACCACCCCTCTATTGAGGCCTACTGGGGAGAAATCATTCAGAAATTCAACACATATATTTTTCAAGTTGTGGAGTAAGCCACCCCTCTCCTTTCAAGTTTAACTTCTATCTTTGGTTTGAGGCTTTGTGATTAAGGTTCTATGCTCTCATATGAGCCTAAGCTTTCTGGGTGCTTATGACTGTTTACCTAACAGGCCTTATGAGGAGCGTGGGAACTAGGCCATGGGATAACTTACTGTGCAAAGTGTAGGGCAGAATTTTTGAAGTACCTGTAGTGTAGTGCACACCCATGGATACAGCAGAGTAAGAGATGTGATAATGTTTACCCTGCTTTCTTACTCAGTGAAGGTGAAGATTATTGAGCTTTTTTCCATGCAGAAACCAGTATTTGGTGCAAAATGTAGGGCTAAAACTGAGATGTGAATGCTTTAAAGGATACTGTAATACTAAACTGCATTCTATGGTGAATTCTGTCAAACTTTAAAATGTAACCAAAAATTACCTTGGCATTATAGTTGCACTTCTGTGTTAATTAGATTACTTAGCCCTATTTTTAGTGCAAATTAAAAAAGCTTTGCAAAAATTCTATTTGCATAGGGTGAGCATTTTGGTCAGGATAAAATAAATGTACATGATCTTCCATTCTCAAGGCAGTGGGTGTGGCCTGGTTTTGTAAACTCAGAACCATTTTGCAAGGTGAAGTTAGTGTAGCTGTGAGGACTGACTATTGAAAAACATTCTGACTTGTTAGTTGGACTAGAAATCAAAAAAGTAACCTTAAGTAACTCTAGTTACTTCAGTTCAATTAGAGGCAGCCAAGCTGTGGCAGGAAGCAGCTGGGTGGCAGCTTTTACACTATGTCAGGGCACTAAATTCAACTCAAGATGTGGAAACCCTTTCAGGTTTAGTGTTGAATAGTCCCTTGGAAGTACCATGTGAGGTATAGTCATCTTTCTGAGTTTTGCTAGAATTCCTGTTGAATCTTATTTTGAGCTCTAACCTGAATAGATCAGCCAGAGGAACATTTTAAAAGGGAGAAACTTGGTTTTGTCACTGAGTAATGTCTCTGCGCTCATTATTGCACCAAGAATTCACAGGAAAATTTTTTTCAATTGGGATAAAGGTGAAGTTAAAAATTGCCAAGTCCTTTAATAGCAATAGCCTTAAAATGGGGCACATTAACAGCCCATCAAATGCACATCTTACCTTTGGCTTTGTTCCTCGCAATGCACAGGAGACATGGGTAGTAATGTACATTATGCTATACAATTCTACTGTAACAATTCCTGAGTTAATTTTATCCTTATGAAATTTCAGGAAAATGTTTGTTGGTGGCCTCAGCTGGGATACAAGCAAAAAAGACTTGAAAGACTACTTCACCAAATTTGGCGAAGTGGCTGACTGTACAATAAAGATGGATCCAAACACAGGAAGATCAAGAGGTTTTGGATTTATTTTGTTCAAAGAAGCTGGAAGTGTTGACAAGGTGAGTTTAAGATTGTGCCTCTAATTGTTTCAAAATCTAGGAAAATCTTATATGAATTAATCTTACTATATCAAATAATTGGCAGGTTTTGGAACAGAAAGAACACAGATTAGATGGGCGACTTATTGACCCCAAAAAGGCTATGGCGATGAAAAAAGATCCAGTGAAGAAAATTTTTGTTGGAGGACTGAACCCTGAGGCTACAGAAGAGAAAATCAGGGAATACTTTGGAGAGTTTGGAGAGGTATGTAACTTAACACTAGTAAATGCTGATACATCACAGAATGTGCTATAATTTTATTTTTGTAGACTGAGCATGGACTGGATCTTCAGACTTACATAATTTGTTCCAAAATGTCTTGCACTAATCAGAACTTCACCATTAAGCATTTTTATTGTACTAACTTAATTTTAAGGGTTTGACTTATTGAAAGTCACCATGTAAAAAGAATAGTCACTACAGCTCCATGTAGAAATTGCCAGATGTGCACTTGACACTTGTAGTCTAATGAAGTATTTGTATAATTTGGGAATGTTTACCATATTTAAATCCTGTTTCTGAAGACTAGAGCTCTGGATTTGAGCGTGAATTGCTTTAAAAAGGAAGTAAATACTAGTTATAAGCCTAATTGTAGTATCTTATGTAATACATACAGGCATGAAAAGTCAGAACACTGACACTATAGCGAAAAGTAATGGTCCTAAAGTTGTATTCTTTAATTTTCTCAGATTGAAGCCATTGAACTTCCAATGGATCCCAAGACCAACAAACGGAGAGGCTTTGTATTCATCACTTTCAAGGAAGAAGATCCAGTCAAGAAGATCTTGGAAAAAAAATTCCATAATGTTAGTGGAAGCAAGGTAAGAAACAATTCAGATTTGAAACAAATTTCCCATTGTGAGCAGGTAGTATCTAGTTTATATTGTTAGATAGATAAACACGCAGAGGTGATTCATTTCTGGTCTCCACATAGATGCAATGAGGACAACTTACCACTTACACTAGGGTTTATTAGCCAAATTTAAATTATTATTGCTAGGCTTAAGCATAGTTCGTTAAGTTGCTTTACTATTTTGAAGGGTTCTGGCATACGCTTTT